TCCAATCCGAACCGCTATGGCACAACTGGAGATTCGAAATTCAGCTACCTGAAGCGAGAGCCGAGATCTGGAGAGAGGACCTCGGAGTAATTCACTTTTACGACCTCCTAGACACACAAAGCGAGCCCTTCGAGCCGAGCGACTGGTGCGAATTCTTTGACCAACTCGCCCCCAGCGAGGACCAAGAACGCATGCTAGACGAGCTACAATTGATATGGAATGCCGTCGATCGAGGAGGCGAGCAAATCGGCGAGGATCTGTGGAAAAACAGCCAGCCCCCCCGCCCTGACACGTTAATTAATATAAACGTGGCGATAATGGACCCAACCTCGCAACACATACAATATGCATATGCCGAGCGACCAAATAATTCGAACCCAGGAACTAACATAATATACCACGAGCTATGGCTAGACACATCCAGCAGACCCCACCGCACAGGAAATACAATCGACCCGAGGCAAAAATCAATCACGACAGTCGAGGAATGGGATGACACGCCCTCGGACCCCCCACCCGTATATGGCAGCGGCATACTCGAGGAGAAGCGGCGCCAAACAGACTATAAAAAACCCGCAATCATAGGGCCTACACACCTCGCGTACCCGAGAAATGAGGGCTGGAGACCCAAGGGGCAAAAGGGCAAGACCGAAAACGGCCGTCCACGTAAGCTCTCTGACATTACCATCCACGGCATCACCGACCACCTCACCAAACGCATCACGAGAAAAATAAAACCGAACTGCATACGAAACTGGAAGAAGCGGGTCCGATTCAGAATCGACTTTAAAAAAGTGTTTAGCTCGTTCGGCACCCCACTCTCAAACGACGCCGAGGAGAGACAGTGGAGAAAGTACGTCCACAGAGCGATTAACGTCCGCAACCGAAACCCAGCGCTCACAGAGCACAAATGCCGACTGTGCAACCGAGAAGAGGAGAGCATGCTGCACCTAGTCAAATGCTGCCATACAAAACCCCTCTGGAAAAAATGCCTGAAATTCTGCCACGAGGTACTGGAAGCCCCCGACATGATCGACAACCCAGAGAGAGCCATCATCTTCAATCAAGACAAAGAGAAAAACATGCTGCCTGAAGCGACATGCGCCTTCATCCGACACGCATTCACCATATTTTACCACGACTTCGCAAACGTCGAGAAAGGACACACCTTTATATGGCAAAAGGTCTACTACAGAGCCCTAACATCTTTTCGAAGGGCAGCGATACGATACGCGGGAAAAATCAGACTACAACACACTCATCGGATATACATTGGGGCAAACGTAGATTTCCCGAAATATTTTGAGAAATATGACAGGCTTAGTCGGAAGGAGAAATTTCCGGAAATTTACCATACCTGTGACAAGATCCTACTATTCATATACGAGTACTGTTCCCAATCATACTGACCGGTGACCGATGACCGCTGACCGCTGACCGATGACCAGCGTCAGCCTCTCCGCGGAGGCGCACCATCACTGCCGCGCGGGCCTGCCGGCTCAAGCAAGGCACGGCAGGCCCGCACGGTGCCTGGTCCAACATGGGTGTCCAACATGGGCGAAACGGAAAGGGGCGAAACTTGAGGGCGAAGAAATTTCTCGCAAATTTGCCGTGGTGGGGCACGAAATAAAGACGAAATAAATGAAAGAAATATCCTTACGCTGGGCAGGAAATCTACGTTTGCCCCAAGATATACACCGACCTTACAGCGGAGGTGTCGGAGGAGAGCAAAAGAAAATTCGAGCAAATAATCGAGATCGACACCACTGGGGTCTCGGGGCTCACGTCAGACTTCAAAGACGCGATCACAGCAGCGCTGACCAGCCTCAAGGCCGTATCCGACGCGGACAGGAGGAGCCTCGCAACAGCACAAAATAACCAGCAATACCATCACACGAGGCGAACACAACGTGCATGACCCGAGATCGACCCGAGATCGACCCGAGATCGACCCGAGATCGACCCGAGATCGACCCGAGATCGACCCGAGATCGACCTGAGATCGACCCGAGATCGACCCGAGATCGACCCGAGATCGACCCGAGATCGACCCGAGATCGACCCGAGATCGACCCGAGATCGACCCGAGATCGACCCGAGATCGACCCGAGATCGACCCGAGATCGGCACGAGCGATCAACCCAACAATGCCCCAAAGCCCCCTCCGGGGGGACCCCCCCTCACCCCGAGTGTCCGTGTCCTTCGCGAGTCACCGATGGGGGAGCGGGGGGGGGTGCGAGATGCACAGGGGAGGCTGGGGAGGGGGGGGTCCACTCTGAAGACTGCCGACCGCGGGGGGGTTTTGTCCCACAGGGTTTTACCCTCCGCGTGAGGATCGGCGCGGCGAGGGGGTAGGCTCGAATTCGCCGCGCAACATATCACCCCCACAGGACCCCGCCCACCCCCCCTCATGGTCCCACCTAGCACCCCAATGAGCCTTCGCACCCCCTCCTTGCGCAGTGTCCCCCACTATGTGTCGCCGTTATCGGGGCACGCTATCCTGTGCAGTCAGGGCAAGTGGGGGCGAGGCGCAGTCCCTCTGGTCTATACTGGTGTGGTTCTGTCCCTAGTCTCGGAGGGGGGCTTGAAGCTAAGAATATTTTATTTTTTTTTTAGTCCTTAGTCGTTACGTAATCTTCACCGCCCCAATATTCAGTGGTTCTTTCCAAGAGCAAGACCTCCACACAGCTCTACGCGTAATAAAACAGTACGTTCTACGTATTCAAGAAGGAGATGCGGTCGGCGAAGATGTCGAGCACGAGGTTGAGGTCGTCGGGGTTGACGCGGAAGAGGCGCGTCCAAAAGTCGTAGAGCAGGTACTGCCCGCCGATGGTGGCCCCAAAGAGCAAGCAGCGCGGCGCGAGCCCCGAGAAGAGCGCCGCGGGCTCGTTTGCGAGGATACTCCGCGCCGTTTCTATCAGCCCCGCCTCCTCGCCGCGCGCGCGCGCATCCGAGAGGCGAGTGACGAGCGTGTCGGCTGGCGTGGTGAGCAAGCCAGAGACAACGCCGGCGATGACGCCGGCGAGCAGCGCCGACGCGCCGCCGTACTCCTGCAGCGCGGGGAGCGAGGAGGAGATCGCGTCCGTGGTGGCGTCGAAGACGAAGAACTTTGCGAGCGTGAACGGCAGCTCGCGCAGCAGCATCGGCAGCAGCGCTGAGTAGAGCAGCGAGACGCCGCCCTCGTCGTACAGCGCGCCGAGCTCCGCAAAGACGCCGTCCGACGCCGGCGCCCACTGCCCGTCTGTACCGCTCACGCCACCGCCGAACGGCACCGACAGCACCGGCGGCCGGAGAGCCTCGAGCCCGTCGCCCTTGACGCCTGCCCTCGTGTCCCAGCGCTTGAGGCCCGCGGCTGCGGCGCGCGAGGGTGCTTCCTGGATCGGGTAGGCGCCGCCGTCGCCGCCCGCAAGCTCCGCCCTCGCCCCCTCTGGCACGCGCTGGCTCGCCCGCTCGCGCTGGCTCGCCAGCCGGGCGACCGTGCTCTCGCCTAGAGCAAGGGGGGTGGCCGAGGCTGGCCGAAGCGTGGCCGGGAGGGGCCGGCGCAGCGCCTCTCGCGGCTCGCCGACTCGCTGCGCGATGCGGATGCGCAGCACCTCGAGCGGGGCGACGAGGAGCACCGAGAGCAGCACCGCGCCGACGCCGGATGCGATCTGGATCTGCAGCGCGTACAGCGGCTGTGCGGCGCCGGCGAGCGTCGACAGGTACCTGAAGCCAAGCCACGCACCGCCTCACTCCTCCAACCTCACCGGCGGTGCGCCGGCGGGCGGCGCGAGGACGCCTCCGCAGAAACTCGTTTGCGCCGAACCCGACGCCTCCGAGGACAAAGGCGTACAGTGCGGACGTGTCTGCGCCGGCGAGGAGTGCGGAGGGGCCTCCGGTCGCCCACATCTTGCGCAGCGAGGGCAGCAGCGCGGGGAACTCCTCCGCATCGACCTGCATCAGCACCTTGGTCGTCTCGATCGGCAGCAGCGTCGTGCGGATCGTCGCCTGGTCAGCGGAGACGACGCCGTCAAAAGCTCGCCCGTGTCGGCAGCAGCGTGTGTGTGGGGGGGGAGGGGTGTGTGTGTGGGGGGGGGGGGGGTTCGCCGTGCACGCGGCGCCCGAGAGCGCGAAGGCCCAGTAGTCTCGCCGCCGCACCTCCCGCTCGCGCTGCACCGGCGTCTTGCCTAGCGGGCCGAAGGCGCGCTCCGACTGCAGCGACCGCGCGGTGAGGCCGGTCGACGAGACTGGCGGCAGCAGCTTGAAGTAGAAGCCCTTCTTCTTCTCGAGGACGCGCCGCGGGCGGCAGTTTGGCGGCAGGAGCGCGAGCAGCTCGCTCGAGACCGAGTAGGAGGAGCCCTGCAGCCGCGAGTCCTCGAGCCGGTCGCGCCTAGTCTCGACCGGCTCGGGTCCATCTCGGCCTCATCTCGGCTGCAGCTCCGAGCCCCTCGAGCCGCGCGTGAAGGAGAGGAGCGACTCTTCGGGAGGAGGAGACAGCCTCGCCACCGCCTGCGCGTCGGAAGGGTCGAGGAGCGCCTTGGCGCCGCCGCTGTACGCGCGCGCGTCGAAGGAAGGCAGCGGCTTCGAGGGCGCGTCGGCGCGCGTGAGCTCGATGCTGATCACCTGCGCGAGCGGCACACCGGCCGAGCTGAGACCTACATCTCGGCTACACCTCGGCGATACCTCGGCGATACCTCGCCTGGTCGACTGCGTAGCCGTACCCTCCGTCCAGCACCTCGATCGAAGCGACCTGCTGCTCGAGCACCGCCTGATGCACACCACCGCGCGGTGAGCCGAGCCCGCCGCCGCCCCTCTCCACTGCCCGGCTGCTCGGCGCCTCGGCGGATGCGCCTCCCTCCCCGTCGCGCGGCGGCTCGATCCGCACGGAGATGGAGTCGCTCTCCGAGTAGCCCGCGCCTCCGTCGAGGAGAGACAGCTCGACGATGCTTCCGTTGACCACGACCGCCTGCGGGCGGGGGCACTGCACCCGTCACTCACCCCCCCACCCCCCCTCTCTCCTCCCACCGCCTCGCTTCACCACCCTTGGACACCACCCTTGGACACCACCCTTGGACACCACCCTTGGACACCACCCTTGGACACCACCCTTGGACACCACCCTTGGACACCACCCTTGGACACCACCCTTGGACACCACCCTTGGACACCACCCTTGGACACCACCCTTGGACACCACCCTTGGACACCACCCTTGGACACCACCCTTGGACACCACCCTTGGACACCACCCTTGGACACCACCCTTGGACACCACCCTTGGACACCACCCTTGGACACCACCCTTGGACACCACCCTTGGACACCACCCTTGGACACCACCCTTGGACAGCGCTCGCCCGTGCGCGCGCCGCTCGCCAGCCCCGTGCCGCCGGAGGGGAGATGCTCACGGCAGGAGGGTCGGCGTAGAAAGCGCCGGCCAAGTCCGGGCAGCAGAGGCTATCCAGCGTGATGAGTTGCCGTTGAGTGGTGGTTGAGAAGGAGTCTCAGCAGGGCCGGGCAGTCACCTCAGCCGCAGCTCTCCCACGGAGCCCGTCGGCCGCATCAGCGCGCGGGCGACCGCACGCGCGCCATACACCTGCGCGAGATACAGTCGAGATGCAGCCGAGATGTGGCCGAGATGGAGGCACGCGCCATACACCCGCGCGCCGCAGAGCGCATCAGCGACTGACACCCGTCGTGAATCAGCCGGCTCTCTCTCTCTCTCTCTCTCTCTCTCTCTCTCTCTCTCTCTCTCTCTCTCTCTCTCTCTCTCTCTCTCTCTCTCTCTCTCTCTCTCTCTCTCTCTCTCTCTCTCTCTCTCTCTCTCTCTCTCTCTCTCTCTCTCTCTCTCTCTCTCTCTCTCTCTCTCTCTCTCCCTCTCTTCCCTTTCTCTCGCGGCGGGCAGCCTCGGCCTTGATCTCGGCCTTCATCTCGGCCTTGATCTCGGCGCCTGTGCGTCTGGCTCTGCGATGGCCACTGTCGGCGCCGCGGTGTAGCAGCCGCCGCCGCCCTTGACGGTGATCTCGGTGATGGAAGTGTTGTCGAACTCGCCGAGCGCCTGAGCTCGGGCAATCTCGGCTGATCTCGGGAGTGTGAGGTGTCGTCGATCTCGCCAGCCAGACACCTCTCTCCTCGCAGGGCGAGATTGACTGCAACCGAGGGGAGCGGTCGCCGGCCAAAGTCCATCTCGGCGCATCTCGGCGCATCTCGGCGCATCTCGGCGGGTCGTTGCTCCTGGCGCACGAGCCCGGACGGCTGGCTGGGCGGCGGCAGCAGCGAGAAGAGGATGGCGAGCTGGAGCTTGGCCTGGCGCGAGTCGCCGTAGCGGGATCGGAGGATCGAGTAGAGCGTGCGCGGCCCCTTGTCGTTCTTCTTTTGGCCAAACTGGCGAAGGCCGAGCTGCACCGACTCGGAGAACTTTCCGAACTGCTGGCTGCGCAGCTCCTTGAGCGTCGCGCGGTTCACGCCAAACGGCAAGCCTTGGGCGGTCCGGGCACGCCGAGGGGTGAGCAGCCCGGGGTGGGGAGCCAAGAGAGGAGGAGTCAGAGAGGTGGAGCCAGAGAGGAGAAGGCCAGGGACGGTGGGCCGCCATGGCTTGGCGGCTGCGGGTGGGAGGGGTAGCGGCTTGGCGGCTTGAATCTGGCAGCCGGCTGGCCAGCGGCGGCTCTGCGGTGGCTCTCCGGCGACGGCTCGGCAGCGGCTAGCGGCTACGGCTCCTCTCGCCTGCTCCCTGCGCCGCCCACCACTCGGCAGACCCCTCGTCATAATTGAGGAGGAACCGCGCGAGGTAGGTGACGAAGCGCTGCGGGTAGGCGTAGCCGGAGTAGCCCTCGTCGACGAAGCGCGCGCCGACCTCCGCCCGCGGCGTCCAGACCAACTTGGTCGCCTCGTCCGCGACCGAGTTCGGAGACTGCCTCCCGGCACCAAACCGGCGGACGGGCACGGCGGCGGCGGCAAACGGGATGGACGCGAGCGCGCCGGTGGTGCCACGCAGCAGCGTACGCCGTGGCACGGGCGGCGGCTGAAGCGCTCCACGGCACACCACGCAAAGCAGCGACAGCGCGAGCAGCCGTATGCAAGAGAGCTGAGACCGAGACGGCGCGACGAATGGTGTCCGACAATCGCCAGCCATGGCACAGCACCTCCTCTGCGGTGCTCGGCCGTGCTGAGGTCGTGGGTGCCGCGAGAGGAGTGCCCGGGAGCTTCGATTTTCTCTTTCTTTGCTTCTTTATTTCGTGTCGTCATCATCTGTCTCGCGTCCACCCATGCCGCGTTGGTGTCCACTCCGAGTGGCTGTTCTTCACCTTCCTACCTATTCACGTGCATTCCAGTTTCTTAAGAATTGGTAGGGGAATGTACGTAAGAACCAACGTCACTGAAAAGCGGGAAGGGGCACGGGTAGGGCACCAGTTCTCCCCGATTTCCGAGAAAGTGCGCTAGAGGTCTGTAGCCTGCGGACTCGCTTCGATGATGCACTCCCGACTGCGGCAACTCCTGCTCCTGCTGCTCCCGCTCCTCGCACACGGCCTGCGAGCGGCGCCACGCCTGCACGCTGCTCACGCACCATCGCGCGGCGGGCGTGTCGCCGCGCTCGACGCCAGCGGCCTCGATGCGGCCGCGGCGTGGGCGGCTTACAACGTGCAGCTTGTTGAGCACCCGCTGGTAACAAAGGCGCTCACGGCAGGCCTGATCATCGGAGCGGGCGACGCGGCGGCGCAGACGCTGGAGGGGAGGCAGACGGGCGCGCCCTTTGACGGCGTCCGCTACCTCCGCTGGGCGATCTTTGGCCTTGTGCTGCAGGGGCCCTGGAACCACGCGTTCTACCAGCTGCTCGACGCCGCGCTGCCGCCCACCGCGGACCCGTTCACGCTCACCACCCTCGAGAAGGTCGGCATCGACCAGTTTGTGCAGGCGCCAATCTTCACCGTCATCATCCTGTGCTTCTTCGCCGTTGTCGAGGGGAAGGGCCTCGCCTTCGCGCGCGAGCAGGTGAAGAACGACCTCGGCGGGATCCTCGTGAAGAACTGGAGCGTCTTCCTGCCCGCCACGGTGATCAACCTCGGCTTCTGCCCACCGGAGCTGCGCGTGCTCTTTCTCAACTGCGTTTTCTTCGGTTGGGTGGTCTACCTGTCACTGTTTCTGAATGCGGAGGGCGAGACCGCCGAGTGAGTGTTGTGGAGTGTTTCGTTGGTGCTATCTTTCGGCACGCCCGTGTGCCATACACGTAGCGTTTTTTGGCTTCTCTCCGAGAGAGGCCCAGAGCCCCTACAGCCAGCCGCCCCGTACGGCGGTCCCTTAGTGCTTAGAGCACCTTAGGAGAGCTCTTCATGCTTGAACTCCACAACCACCGCAAGTTGCGGGCCTGCCTCGGTGTCGGGAAGGAGCGTAAAAAAAACTGCGGCCCTCGAAAAGCTGCGAGAAGCTCATAGCGGCCCTCGATCTCTGACAACCTCGAAGAATGTGGGCTTCGCCTGCCTGCCCGACGCCTCCCCCGCCGCGGGGGCCCGTCCCGCGACGCCCACCGGCCGACCCCCACACTCGCCCCCCTTCTCAGGACCCGCCTCACGATGATGCTCGCCGGCGCCGGCGTCGCCTCGTCTCACGCACCTTGACGGTTGACGCCTTGCACGGGGTCGGACTGTGGCTGTCGATCTTACGGCACGGCGACGGAGGCGGCGCCGCGGCCCGCCTTTGACCACTCGTTGACTTCAGCCGCCAGTGCTGCGACGGTCCGCTTGCCCTTGATCGTCGTCCCCTTGGCCGAGGCGACAGGGCAGGCCTTGCTTGCCGCCTCGGGGCAGGCGGACAGCAGCGCCTTGCACACCGGCATGCAGTCGTTCCCAAAGGCGGCGCAGTGGAGAGGCAGGGCGCCGGCCTGTCGCGAGGGACGGGTCCTGCTGGGTAGGGTGGTGGCCTCTACGGGGTAACGAGTGGAGGGCGCGAGGCCTTGGTCTCTGCACGGATCCCTGCGGGGTTCGCAGCCAGAAGGACGAGCACGACAGGCAGCGAGGAGGACGAGCACGCGGCAAAGTGAAGCGGCAACCAGCCGGCCTTGTCCGCTGTCTCCGCCGCCCGTGGGTTCTGCGAGATTAGTTTCTTCACAATCGTAACTGAGGCTGCTCGCGCCGCCACGTGAAGCGGAAGCCACCCGTTTGCGTCCCTGATGAAGGCGGCTCTGCCGTTTGAGGCGAGATGAAGGAGGACCTTCTCTTCGTCGGCGTACGATGCACCCAGGTGGAGGAAGGTAGGAGAAGCTTTCGGCTTCATTGCGGAATGAGAGAGGCAAGCAACGGCTTTTGGCGACCGCCCTGGCGAAGGCGTGTTGAGAAGCGAAAAGAATTTACACCCACAGCTCGCTTTACACACTTCCGCGCACGATATTGGGCACGGAACGTACCGAACGTAGAGCCGAGCGGAAGGAAGCGGGGGAAGATGACTCAGAGGAGGACGAACCAGTGGAAATCCCGTTGTCAGCCGTCACGATGCACCCGAAGGGGACCCCAGCGCCGGCATCATCCGTGAAGGCACAAGTGTTCGAAGAGAGAGTGGACCTGAGCAATGATATGACTGGGCGGCAAATGATAGCAGTGGGCGTCAGAAGACTCGTCCTTGCTCGAGGAGAGCTATAGACTGAGGGGCCAGGATATGCAAGGAGGGCGGAGCTGCGCCGAAAGGCGAAAGAAGCCGAGAGAACAAGGGAACGGCAGGCGGCGGCGGCGGCGCAGAACGAGGCAGAGGAGAGCGACGCGACAGAGGAAGAAGCGACAAGGGAGAGCACGACGAGAAGGGGGCGACCGCGAGGTGGCACGAAGGTTGAAGCGAGAATCGGCGAGAGACTGCGAAGGGAGATAGAAAGAGGCGGACGCCCATGGTGGGGTGATGATAGGCGGAGCTGCGCAAGCACGAGATGGAGAACGCGAGGCTGTGGTGTTAAAGCAGTGAAAGGGTGGGTGACGGCTAGCGCATCACACCCCTCTCCTTAAAATCCCTGTGTGGTGGCGGCGTGCCGTCCTCCCATCCCTCCCTTGGGTTGCCCGCTTTCTTTCTTTCTTTACTGGGCTCGTGGTAGTGAGAGACTGCCGGTGAGAAGCCGGAGGAAGGTCGCTAGACTGAGATGAGACCACCAGTGGAGTTGCAGTTGGGATTCCACCGTGCACCGCGCTGCGAGCCTGTCGTGTCCCTTGTCAGGAGCAGGAGAGCCCCACCTGTCCCCCTGATCGTCCTTCCAAAATCCTGCTCGTGCAGGTGTGGACCCTGATCCCTGTCCTCCTCCCCTATCCCTCGTTTGGGCCAGTCCGCGGAACGCGCGCACTGGGCACGGGACTGGCGCGCACTGGGACTAACACAGGTACACCACGGGAGCCGCCTAAGCGACCCTGCGTGAAGGGAAAAGAATTTTACAAGCTGCACGGCGGACTGACGCGCACTGGCACTAACACAGGCGAAGAAGAGTTTACAATAAATTGCTCTCTCACAACAGACAACACTTCTAATAAAGATAATTATTTTCCTTCGCCTTGGCTTGATTGGTGTCCAGTCGCAGTCCGAGCCTGGCTGTTCTTCACCTTCGATACATACATACATAATAAGCGACTTCCTGTGGCGAGGCACTAAGGTCGGGGCACTCGACCGCCCTCGCTCGGCCTCGCCGCAGGCAGGCAAGCTCATTCATTGTACATTGACGATCTTGCTCTGCTGCGATGGTCGTGTGAAGAATTCACCTTGGGGGTGTTCATCCGTGTTCATTCCTGGGCATCCCAACTGTGAACCCCAAGGGTGAAGAACGATTCATGTATACACGCTGGTTGGTCGCTGCTTCTGCAATCCATTTGCGCTTGGTGTGTGGCGTTTTTCGTAACTCGAAAGCTGAAGTGGTAAAGAAAAACAACGGCAGTATGTTCTTTGTGTGTAGGTCGTCTAGAAGTTGCTATGTCTACTGCTCTTCTGCTGACCTCTGCGCTGGCCGAGCCCCTGCCACGCCCGCCCCCCCTCCCCTCTCTCCCCCCTCACTCCCCTGCCCGCCACACGGTTGAAATGGCACACATGACCACGCCACCTCGCGCGCAGGTGGGGAGGGGCACAACTCGTAATGAATGGTGGGCGTGCCCACCCCGGAGTGGTTCGACCCCACGCAAATCCGAGACGGTGTGACGGGATGCTGGCTCTGTGGTCTCAGGCCCAGTGAGGTAGTGCACGAGACTATCCCGGATCCTGCTGAACAAGCTCCTCTTGTAGCTCGATCGGTCACACCGCCATCGCCGTCGGGGAGAGGGGGGACGACACTCTAGACGACACTGCTTCGGCAGCGTGCACCTCGATCCTGTACCGTGTTTGTTATGACCCCCCCCCATGAACACACCAGCGAGGGAGGGCGAGACGATCGAGGGGTCCCGTACCATGCGGAATCGACCCTATCCAGTGCTCAAGTGCTCAAGTGCTCAACGCACAACGGCAGTATAACTCTCTCTCGCGGACTTGCGACATGCAGACCTGCGAGCAATGCGGTCAGCCGGAAGAGTCTCTATTCCGTTGCGCGGACCGAAATTGCCCGGCGTGCCTCTGTGCCGACTGCAATGCATACAACGATACGGCACGATACAGCGACGTTCCAGGCGGTGTGGACTACATCTGCTGCATGCGTTGCGGTGGGTCTGTCGAGCGCAAAGTGGGCGATTACTGGGTGCTGGTCCATAACGACAATGATGAGGACAAGGCCGATCCGGCCAAGCAGGTTGACCGCGACTTCATCTCACCCATCGGCTACTGGACTGATTTTGACAGCATGTACTGCGCGCTCGTGCCTCCTGAAGACGACCCTTCTTTCAACCCGAAGGACCGTGACAAGTATGGCTTGTTGTGCGCTCCTACACCCAAGACGATGCGCATCCCGTTTACCTGTGTCGGCTGCTACAAAGAGGAACCGCACCGAGTGATCCCCGGAGAATCCCCGAGTGAGGTGCGCGCGATGGAGCACCGCGTGGTCGCCGAGTGGGACGGCGGGCAGAACACCGGCCTGCCGGCGCGGCTACAATGCGAGCCGTGCTTCGCTCGCCACCAGCGCCATCAAGAGAAGCTGCGGCGGGAACGGGAGGAGGATCATCGCCGCGAGGAGATGGAGCGGCGCGAGTGGGAGAAGCGGTCGCAGGCCAAGCAAAGCATCAAGCGGAAGGCCAAGCAGGAGGAGCAAGAGCGGCGTCTACGCACGACGGCAGGCGCGGACGATGCCGACAAGGCCCGCATGGCCACGCTCAAGATCGACGCGCTAAAGCGCGTCTGCGCGGCGAATATGCTGCTCGTGTCTGGCAACAAGTCGCAGCTGCTCGAGCGGCTGATCGGCTGCCGTCGCCACGGCCGTCTGGGCTCGGCCTGTCCCCAATGCAAGTGCGGGAAGCTCGAGATGTGCTACAGGGATGATGGCCCTAGCGGTAGCTTCCCAGAGCCGAGCGCGGTCCACTGCAAGCACATGAAAGGCATGGGCCGACCGTGCGGCTACGTCAAGATCACGAGCGGGGGCAAGAGCGAGGTGCTCAAGGGCAAGCTGATCGACAGCCCCGAGGGCGATCTTGCGGGCGCACAGCTGATTCTGGTGTGACGAGAAGAAACGACCGTGAAGACGCAGTGGAGGGCCATGATGCTTGGTCCCGGACCTACTGCCTTCACGCATGGACATGGACAGGGCTATGCCCCGCTCGCATGTGAGGGAAACCCCAGCCTCATCATTTTTGATGCGTGACATCGGTGCCTCCTGCTCCCATTTCCGCCAGGTTGGCAACTGAGTGGATACTGGTTGGCAATCATCCACAGGCACCGGTTCGCGGGGAGAGGAGTGGACGCGTATGACAGCCCGCGCGCGTGCAGCCACGCCTCATGCCCGCGGTGGCGTCCTTGTATTCCTGGTTCTTGACGCCAGGCGCAGGCCGACGCCACCGATCGATCCACGTGTCTTCCACTGCGTCTGCTTGAGCCTGCGGCCGCCAAAACGGTCCGCGCGTCTTCCGCCGAGTGCAAGGAGTGCAAGGGAGTAGAAAGCGTAAGAGGTGAAGGCGGCCACCACGCCGTCCTCCTCCGCCACCTGTTGTTGTTCTGCTTTTCCTTCGTGTTGGTTTCAAACAAGAAATACTGTCCCGTTTTGCTGTTCACAGCTAGGGACGGCCTCTGCGGCTAAGTCAAATCACCCCCACCGCCTCCCACCGGGAGGGGGAAGGCTGGGGGTGATTTCTCAGATTTTTCCCGCAACCTCCTTCCCCGATAGAGGACCCCTCCCTGAGTCGGCGGATCGAATTTCCACGCGAATTCCCCTCGGGCATCGCTGTGAATGAGCATTCGCAGGCCAGGCCACAGGTGCCAGCCGCACTGGCGGTGCTCTCGCTCCCTTCCTCGCCGCCACGCCGACTGGCGAGCTCGTCGCGGGCGGCCAGGTGATCGGCTAGAGCGCAGACGTCGGGCTTGGCCTCCGTCGCCGTTCAGATGGACGGCTGTTGGTGGTGCGGGACCACGAACTGGTCTCGCAAGGGCGGTGAGGCGGCCAACGGGCTGCCCGCCGTGGCTCTAGAGCGAGGAGAAGCGCTCGGGCCGGCGTCTCCGGCGTCGACGCGCATCCATAAGGACTGCGCGGCGGCGGTACGCAAGAGAGCTTCTGCGCGCGCTGCTGAGGAGCGTGCTGCTCCGCCGGCAAGAAGCACGCGCTCCGCTGTCGAGACTGCGCGTCCCGACAGCAAGCGCCCCGCTGTCGGCGGCTGGGCGACGGTGTCGAGGCCGGGCACTAGTTTAGGCTTGCCGCCGCCCGGCAAGGCGCAGCGGACCGACGCACTCGATCGGATGGAGGAGGAGCCGCCGCCGCCTCATCCGCTGCCGCCTCCCGCTCCCGCTCCTGCTCCTGCTCCCGCCGCCAGCAGCCAGGAGGAGGCGGCGGAGACACCGGACGCGCGTGTGGCAGCCCGCTCACGTACCAGCATCCGATGGCTCTCTGTGGAGGGCGGGAGCGACTCGGAGATGGCGCAGCGCTGCCGGAATGAGATGGCGGCTCGCCGACAGGTGGATGATGAGTTGAGGGCTGCGGAGGCGCGGCTGGCGACAGCGGAGAAGACCATCGCCGCCCTGAGGCAGGAGGTCGCCGCGGGCGCGCCGGCGCGGGCGCGCTTATCCGACCTGGAGAAGGCGAGCAGGGGCGCGGTCTCGTACAAGACGTTCTTGCAGGCTGCCGCCATCTGCAAGGACGCCGGTCACCAGTGCGCGCCAGAGCCCAAGTGTCGATCTTTCCCCCCCCACTTGCTCACTCCTCGCGCGCACTCCGCCCGCAGTGACATGT